TGCTGCCTATCCTAGCGGTGGCTGCAGTGTCTCTCCTCAGCCTTCCGCTTCCCCGAATTCTCCTCTCTCCTTGTCCCACCTACTTCCTGCCTGGCTACCTACTTCCTGCCTGGTCACTGGCCATCAGTGTTTTATTTATATAGAATGATATCCACAGCAAGGTCTTAACACAAATCATGAGTATATATAACTTAAGCTATCAAAAAACAAACAAACAAAAACAAAAGCACTGGGCGGCTGTGCATGCCTTTAATCCCAGCACTCGGGAGGCAGAGCCAGGTGGATCTCTGTGGGTTCGAGGCCAGCCTGGTCTACAGAGTGAGACTACAGAGTGAGATCCACAACAGGCACCAAAGCTGCAGAGAGGAACCCTGTCTTGAAAAAACAAAAAAGAAGAAGAAGAAGAAGAAGAAGAAGAAGAAGAAGAAGAAGAAGAAGAAGAAGAAGAAGAAGAAGAAGAAGAAAAGTTATGAACCTATTAGAAGACATCAACATACCCTTCCTACCTTCGGAGTTTTTCAAATGCACAAAAGTTTAATCCCCTCTTTGGTACATATTCCTTTCTCCTAATTATTACAAATCAAAATGAATAAATTTGTATCTTTGAATCATTATTTAGAGAATGCTTTTGACTTGTGATATCTAGTAAATCTGCAGATTGTTCTAATATGGAAAAATAAACCAAAAGGGTGTGGGTAGTGAATTAGGAGTGGACTTTGTTGAATTGTTCTTGAAAATTCTTATTAAACAGAAGCTGAAATTACAACATTGGTTCATGGCAAGCTTTCAGTGAAGACTCCTGAACTAGATCTCATAAACCTAGAGTGTCCTGCACTCTGACCAATAGCAATGAAACTGGACCATTTGACTGACTGTGACTCATACCTCGAGAAGGAGGTATAACATATCCAAAGTCACACCAACATATCTGGTGGAAATAATAAATATTAGTATGAAATGCGAGGAGCAATGGTCAGTGAAAATTAAAATTCAAGCAAAGAGTGAGATTAGCCATAAGAGTTTTCAGTTTGCCTTGCTGTTTTGTTTTGTTGTTATTGATTAAATTTTAATCACTATTTTGTTATATTCTTTTTTTATTAGTTTATTTTATGTGCGGGT